CCCCAAAACCCCAAAACCCCAAAACCCCAAAACCCCAAAACCCCAGGACACAGTGCTTAATTATAATTAGGATGGAAAAGATTTGGATATATTTAAATAAGCTTAAATATTTGTTAATATCACTATTGCATAAATAATTAAGAATGTTAGTGAAAGCTTCAAATATATTTGTATGTTTATAAGATAATGATCAATGTCATAGTTTAATTGAGTTAAATAAAACTCATTATATTCATCCATTAGCCCCCATAAATGTGGAAGAGTTGTTATAAATAAAGGTTCTTATTTCTTCAATTCTAAAACAAACCTCCACAGGCAAGACACTATAAAACAATTATTAATGACATTCAATAGTACCTTAAAACTGATTTAGCTTTCCATAGCTCTTCAACCAGGTGTTTCATAAATATTCTCCATATTAGGAAATAGATTGTCAGAATATAGAGCATGAAAATAATGAATACTGCTTGATATAATCTAAATTCAGCGTTGAAGTATTGATCAATATCACTCTTAAGAATCTATACCAATTCCCAATGGCTCGGTTCAAATATTCGTTCACTAATTACTTCGCTTTGAATAAGTTTCTAATGATTCAAGAATTTTACTATATCCGCCTATGTTCTATTAGATCCGAAGAAGTCGTTATGCAGCTATTACATCTATGTCCAAAATTTAACAACGCTATTGTATAAACCCTTTTGAAGGATGCCACCATTAATAGCCTTGCAGTCCTCTTTTGATATTTCAATGCGTAAGAGCTTTTAGTTCCCATTATCTATATATTTAGCGAAAGTCATATAATCACATGAATCTTTATATATCAATGCTTCGAAAGCCTTGTTGTATGTGTCAGAATGAGTATTATAGTTTTTTGAAAAAGCCTTCAATAATTCCTAGTAGCTTTCATATTAAACAGTATATGACTAATCGATAATATCCTTTACATCTTGAAACAAGAACTTAGCTGTGTTATTTGAGTAAAATAACTCTTTTTCCATCAGTAATAGCATACTAAGATCGGGTTATCTCGATATAAGATACCTCAGTTCTTTTGTAATGAGAGATACTCTATCTAAAAACTGCTTTGATATGAAGTAGTTAAACAGGAAGAAGGCCTCTATCAAAAGTATGAATACTGAGAATTTGAGGATCAAGACTCCAAAGTTAGTATTTATTTGCTTCCATTTCTTCTTTTACTTCTTATAGTTCTTCATATATTCACTCTGCTTGTCATCATCTGCCTTCATCTCCTTTTCAGGTATATGTGTGTGCTCCTCAATCATGTTATCTTACAGCTCGGCTTCATAGTTTTGATTCTCAGCCTAGGCTTAGTACTTTGTGATGAACCATCTGCATTTCTTAAGTTAATCATCAATGCATTTTTCAATCTTTCTATGAGTGAATAATTCGAATACTTCTTGCTTATTATACTTTGCTTTTCTTATAACAGGCAATAAGAAGCCCATAGATAGCACTAGTGCGCAAGAAACTGCTATGAGAAGATACATAAAAATATCTATATTTTTCTCTCTGGTTTTATCACTCTCGTAAATAATTGCATCAGTCGATTCTTAAAGGGCAGACATAACACTGTTCATACAGTTATTGCTGATGAATTAGACATATGGATTTTAGTGTATAATTTAAAACGGAGTTTCTGCAAGTCTATAGGCATAGACTACTATCTGCATCACAGCCTCCCAAATGTTGTAGCTTATTTTACTGGGCAGATCAGGTATTGACTCAAGCGACAGAATTACATTCTCAGGATTGATTCGTTATCTTGATTCATAGCTGAGTCCTGCCGTTTACAGAGAAAGCTGAGTCTATGAATTCTTCAGCTAAGTTGTACTATTTAGAAACTGATCTAAATAGGTGTAAATTGCTATAGTCCTATTTGGTGAAATTTGAGTGTAATTATCAGTGATGTTTTCGTTTATGAGCATCAAATCATTTAACTTCAGATTCATGTTCATGATGTCGTTAATTCTTTACTCAGAGTTTATGATTATCTCAATATAGTCCTGAATATCAGAGAATAGAGTAAACTAGATAACATAGTAGACTATTGCAAGCAATAAAATTAGCATCCAGACTATATTTGCCACGAATCTCAAATTTTTAATTTGTAATGGGATGAATTTCTCATCTATAGCAGATCTCAAAGTGAAAAATGTTCTAGCTTGAGATTACTAAGAAGACGCTATAGATGATACTTCACCTTCATCATTCAATTACTCTTGATCTCATTCAGGCATTCTATTGTCTTAATCTTCCTCAATATCCTCATCATCCTAAGACTTATTATTTCTATCTTCAGAGGATCTACTCTTACTTCTACTTTCACTTCTTCGACTTCTACTTTTACTTTTGCTTTCCGATCCTGAATTGCTTTCCTTTCTCTTTCCTCTCATTCTCTTTACCTTAGTCTTGGATTTATCATCTGGATTTTCTTTATCAAGAGTATCTTGCTTTTTGAGAGGGTCTCCATTCTTGTCTTTATCCATCTATTGGTTTTCTGGGCCATCTTATTTCTTATCCTCTTCATCTTTCTTGAGCTTTCTCCGCTTTTCTCTTCTTTTCTTGGTTGCTTGATTTTTCTTGATAATTTCTCTAATGTCTAGCTCCTTTTCACTGCAATTACAATCGTTAAACAAAGCAGACCCACAGGTTTCATTATCAAAACATTAATATCTTGGATTTGTAACTATTCTTGCATAATCATGAATTTTAGGAATCTTTTCAGGCTGAGGTATCCCTCCTAGCATTGGGTTCAAATTTTGTTGTTATAGCTATCTGCTATTTTACTAGCTTACATTCCATTCTGTTTATCCAGCTATAACATTTGAATTTCTATTGGATCCACCAGATCTTGCATCTGAAGCATAGCCCTCACTTCTTCTTTTGATTCGCCTTTTATTTTCTAACAAGTCCTCGTCTGATCCTTCTTAAGATTAGCCTCCAGAACCAAGAGGGGAAGCCATAGCATCATCATCTGCGCCCTCATCATCATCATAGTCGGCTTCATTATCTTCATTATCTTCTAAACTCTCGTCATCTTCTGCACCCTCGTCATCATCTTTACTCTGACTGATCTTTTCCATGAATGGTTTTTCCTTCAATTGATTCTTTTAATCTTCCTTGAATAGATTCGAGCTGTTCTAGGCAGTCTGAGTATTACTGCCTATAGGTGGTGTGTGAGTAGTAACTGCGTATGGATTTCTGATTATATTTCCTGCTTCTCTCTGCTAAACTTAAACCATATTTTGTGATTCCATTTTTTAAATAGTCTGCTTTGAATCAGTTCTAAAGTTTTCTTCAAAACTCTTAGTGTTCTACTTAATCTCATCATTCAAAACAATCTCCTTTTTAACATCAATTCTATCTGTGTCTATTTAGTCCTCATTATCATCTTCTTGCTCATCTGTTTCCTGCCTCTCAAATTGGAGTATCTTATCGAGATCCTTTTTATGGCTCATATACTTCTGAGACTGAGGATCAAATTCCAAGTCATCATGATTATTAGACCTCTAGTTATTTACGGATCTTTCTTTAGAAAGCGATGGCACACTAGGCATATCATTCGATCTTTCCTCTCTTAAAGTATTCTAGCCACCTCCATCGTTATTAATTTAAGCCTAGTCCATATCTAAAAAGCTGATGGCCTATTACAGATGCCCTTGGTTTTTTAGAATTTACTAATTTTAGATCTTTGATGTCAATCCTGAGGATTAAAGATTCAGGCCCATTGGATTTGCAAACTAAGTTGCATTTGGCATTTTTTGGTTAGGCATATTTTATATTGCGTTTTTCTTGAACTTAGACGGGGTATGACTCATCGATCCGCCTTGAGTCTATTAAAATTGATATTGCTGTTGATCGTTTTGCTGATCGTAATTCGGTTCAATAAACTATTGGTTGATATTAGGAGGTTGCTACTTATCATGCTGATTTCCATCTACGCTATTCTGCTGCTCATCAGGTCTTTTGTCTGATTGATTTTTAGCAATCATAAACAACAAAAGTTTCAAGCCTTTTTCCTCGTTGTTTCCTAGTGAAATAGTCCATTCACGGATCTCTATGTTCATAACCTTCTTGACATCAAACTCTCTGTATTCTTTGCAGTTTAGCAATTTCTTGACATCAGGAGGCTTCTTTCCATAGTTTCTGCCTTTTGTCAAATACTTGATGAACTCTCTGAAAGGTGCACTTTTAACAAATTTATTGGGATTATTTTGCTGAACAGATCCACCTTAAATGCTAGTGTCATCATTCTTTTTTTTGCCGTTTGTTCGATTAGACTTCTGAGGCTTTTCCGACTTTATAAGCTAGCCAAAGTTATTTGGTACAATGAATTATAACTAGTCTCCACCTGGCACCGAATACTTGTTGTTTGAAATAAACTTGCTCTAACCAAATTAGAAAGAATTAAAACTTGGTCTTCTGTAGTAGTTTTTGTAATTTTAATCTTCATTTTAGCCCTATTTTGAAAAGCCAGGCTTTCTGTATTCAAAAATTGATATCAGTTCTGGAGCAAGCATTTGTATATTTACACTCATGCTATCTTTAAATAGCTATGGATTTAGACTAAGAATAGATCCAATTCCATTGGTGAAACTATCTATATTGCCCTGCATGTCAGTTAGAATATATTCAAAATCTGTGGTTACAGGTTTTACCATTCCCACATACTAAACTTCCTCTTTCAATGAAGGCATTTGCTTTATAAGGATTTTCATTGTGAAGCAATAGCCTTGTCTGTTCTAGGCAAAGAGCTATCTTTCTCTATTGAATATATTTGTTCTTCCTGTTCGGTAGTAGCAATCTAGAAACTCGTTATGTCTGCCTGCGAAAAGACTAGGCATAGCAATTGTTATATTGTGCCCTATGACTTCTTACTTTGAGAAACCAAAACATTTAAATAGCCCTTAAGATACTTTTAGAACTCTGCCACTGGATTCCCGATTACCACTTATATGAAATACAGTGCTATCCTCAGTGAATAATATATCTGATCTCTTGACATGATCCTAGATACTTTTCTAGGCGAAGTCGACATTATGTGCTTTGTCAAAGTATTCTTTACCTGCCTGCTGATTATTCCTGATAAAGGTTAGATACTCCCCATAGAGATTTAAGGCATTAGGGTAATTTGAATTAATCTCACTTAACTGATACCATAAATTATCTGCTTCATGAGCTGCATTAAATATCTTAATATTCAAGTCATTTAAGAAATTCAGATCAGGAACTACAGTAGTCAAATGAGTCCAGAACTCCACTTGGTAGTTGCACACCTTTTCAATTTATTTCTACATGTCTTGGAATAATCTCTCGAACTCTTTGACATTAGTAAGCTATTCATAAATATGCTTCATTTTTTCTGATTCCTTTTTAATGAATAATTCGATGATGTTTTGATATCTAAAAATTGTGAACTACTGCTATAAAGTCGGCCTCTTTTTAGAGGCAATTTTTAGCTCGTGTAAAGCTGCATGTATATTTTTCATCGCAGAAAAGTGATAAAAAGCGAATGAAATATGTATTGATGGTGAATTGATAAATTTGTTTAGAGCCTCAGTATATAACTACTTGTTAAAGTGATTAACAAACACCTGATTTGAATGCATATCTTCTGAATTCATAGTGTTCAAATACTGGTCATTCTAAATATCGTATAATTCATCTAAGTTCTTGCAAACACAGTCATCTATAGTACATTCAGCTATGTGAAGGTTAATTAAGCCCTTGACCTTCATCTCCTTATCGAGATCTGAGTGCTTGCCTCCGTCATTCAGCCATGTTTGAATGAGGCATATTTAATTAAGTGAATCAATATCGCTTTGCATTTTTTCGGTGGTAGACATCATTAGACTCTCTATCCTTGTTTCTCTGATTCTTTTGATAAGTGCACATATGATTGGAATTCCAATAAAAATTATCACAATATGGCCTTATACATCATAGAATTACGTGAGAATTCCGTTTATTGTTATCCAAGTGTATATGCCAACCATCGAACCAAAAAATATAGAAACAAAGTTGTTGTAGTAAGGTAAGAATTTAAAATATTAATACTGAAAATAGAGTGAACTGATAAAGGAAAAAGCTATCAATATCCATGAGCAAAATCCAGATAAACAAAACTGAGACAGAGTACCAATTAAAACTCTGTAAATAAGCATTATAACTTCAAAATTAGAATCTAATCTAGATAATGCATCTCCCTTTACAGGCTAAGTCTCATTATAAAGTAAAGCAATTACTGCATTAATTGATAAATACACCATAAGGGCTAATACTGAAAGCAAGCATGCAATAGCATGCTCTGTTTGATAGCACTCCAAAGTGGCAATAAGGTAGTGATGCCCATCCTCACATCTGAAGATGGAAATAAATATTTCGTAAAAAGGCAAAAACAAAACGCAGTTTGAAATTACCAGTAAGTATCTGAGCAACTAAACCAATGATTCCAAATAAAAATAGGTGTTTTTTAGAGAATAGTGCAAGTAAACTAAAAACAGCAAGATAAGGTAAATGTATGCTAGTGCTATAAAATATTTATGAGTTGACTGAATTAATTACCGAAATAGAATACGATCCAGTAGTAGGTGGCTGACTTTGATCTATCAATGGCAGGGACAACTCTAATATACTCACAAAATATAGTAAAAGGCTCTAAAAGCATCTCATCCTGCCAATTAAGTATCTAAAGTAAGATAAGTTATTATCCTGAATGCTATGTTAAGAATTACCCCTCTTTCAAAAAGGCCTGCAAAAACTTGGGAAAACATTATGAAAATCAAAACACATGCCCAAAGCTAGTCTATAGTTTTAAGTATGAGGCAAGGATTCAAGTATGCTTACCAATTGCTTTGTTTTTGAGGAGTTAGAGCATGATGGAGAAGTAGGCGTCCACTAACTTTTTGTATAGACTCTCCTTGCTCTACTTCTTCATTGGATTATAATTTTCCATATTATCTCTCAAAGATGTTACTATACTAATTTCTAATATTATTAAAAAATTTGTAAGAATTATATTTTAAATATGTGATTAATGATGATAAGTCTATAAATTGTAATTTTTATCATTATCCTCATAAAGATTTATTCCTCAGACATCATTTAATAATTAGACTTAACCCTAATATCATTAAACATGAGACTGTTGATAGCTAGACATGGCATCTTGATTCCAATTATCTATGTGCTAAAGGCGACCCTTATTAAGAGCAATCTCTGCAGGGGATAGATCTCTCTCATGCTAAGCCTTATGAGTTCTGGTCTTCTGTATCTGCTCATTTAAGCCTATTTGATAGTTTCTTTGTTTCAACTTCTTCTCCATAATAATCTGCTCTTTCACCTTGAATGAAGATTCTAAATCTTCTTAGTTAATGATTCTATCAAGATGAATCTGCTGTTGAATAGTTTCAACATTTTTCCTTGATTTGAGAACACTCAAGTTTTGATTATCAACAGCCAAAGTTTTTTAAAAGATAGATGTTTCTTGTTGCTTTTGCTTATTTCTCTCATCCAAGATTGTTTAAAAGTTCACATCTTGCTCTAGTCTTGTCAAGCTACGTTCCTTAGGACTGACGGTGTATGCTTCGTAATTCTGCATATTGAATTTATTCCTAGCATCAAGTTCATTGATCTTATTCTTATGTCTCACAATATCAGCTTTATCCACAAATGGATTAGCTATAGTCCCATGGTCTAGTGATTCTCTTGGACTAAGTCTTTAGCTTGAAAATTATGAGTTATGATGGGTCTAAGACATAGTTTTATTTTGTTATCTCAAGTAATCCAGATCTGTACTCACTTTCCTTTGCTTCTCTTTGATGGCTTGAATCTCCTCCTGTATCTTTATTTTGTCTCTGAAATCAGCATCAATAGCTTCTCTTTTATCTTTTTCCATTTGATAAAGCTTCATCTAAAATGGTGTAAATAAGATTTCGCTCAAAATAGAAAACTACTATGCTTACTTTTTACTGTTAAATAAGTAAATTAACTTTTTGTTAATCATTTTGCTCAACGATTCCTTTAATCTTGTCTCTGTAGTTTTAAGCCTTTTCTCTTTCTCTTTACTCAACTCTCCTCAAATTTTCATTCAGTAATTCAGCCTCTTGCATGTTTAGTTGTGAGGCGAATTATTTCTAAGCTTTAATTGATTCCATTTATTTCTCAAGATAGTCCTTGTAATTTGATTAAGAATTTCTTTTTTAAGCGACACCCAACTATAAATGATTAAGACTCCACTCTCGATTGAGAATATATGAATTAATTATGTGATAATCGAATCAAATTTGATATATCTTACTTATTTTTCTTTATCGTAACGGTTCAAATCATCGTCTATCATTAATTTCCAAGGATCAAGCTGCTTGTTCCTTTAATTCATCAGCACCTCAACATTTCTCTCGGATGATCTGTACATTGACTTATCCTAATGTAAGAAGGTTATTATGAAATTGGGCAATTAAAGATGATAAGAAAACATACATCATCTGCGTGAACAAGAAAATTGCTTGCATTATTAGGGGAGACGATTGAAGGGAGAACATTGGTTTTACTTTGATTTCTAATACTGGGCTTGCTCTGAAGATTTGTTTTGATCTTGAGAGGCTCTAGCTATCTCCTGTCATAAGCTATGTAATCATTGCTCTTTATATTCAAATCCAAATTGATTGATGATTATTCCACAGATACATCTTTTCTCTTTGGCTTGAGGACTGTGATTTAGTTCTTCTTGTAATTAATCTTCATCATTTCCCGAGCAGTGTCAATGTCCTATAAACTCAATATTATTGGAACTAAAATAGTCATACATTTGATGAAAGATTCTTCTTCTAAGCCAGCTTTATGATCACTTGATTAATTTACTGAATGTCAGAGTATTCTTTCTCCAACTACTCTTTTATGTCTTTAAGAACTTGCTTGTTATTTATGGTGGTAGTACTCATTTATAATTATATTAAGTTCGATTCAAAAAAGTTTAATAATAAGCATTTTCATTCTACTTAATTATATATTCATAAAAACCCTTATTTTCATCTGATTTTTTGAATTGTAGCAAAATGGGGTTTTGGGGTTTTGGGGTTTTGGGG